CAAGACTTTGGATATTTGCACTTGAAGTGCATATATTGCCCCAAGAAGTTAATATAATATGTTGACAATATCCAAATATACTAGTGAAAATTATGAACACTCCAACGCTGTAGACTACGTCTTGGGTCGACACGCTGACTTTGCGTTTACCAATATCACCAATTACACTGTATGGCGCTAATCCAATAACTTTGGACACCAATATTATTGGTTTCAAAACGGAATAAATATCTGCTGTTTCTTTATAGCTGCTCAGTGCCATTATCAACTTTGGTTACGAAAGACGCCTCTGACTTCATAAACCTTAATGTCAGAAGGTTTACTTCACCAAGCGATCAATAATGTTATTATTTTAAGTTTCAGGCAATCAAATTAACATAATTGGTAATGCTACAATTTTATTAATTACTAATTTTAAATATTTAGACACGTTTTCTTTCAGAGTGTTCCTGGAAGACATGACTCATTTTAGACGTATGATTTGGAAGGTTTGTGAGTGAAAACATAATTTAAACCTCAAAAATAGAAGCGTCTTGATGGCACAGTAAATATCAGGGAGACCTTACTATATTTAAAGTTGTAATGGATTTTAAGATGTCGATTATGGTCTTCGGGGTTGTAACGCGGTTTGGCCTTGTAGGTCACCAACATTTCGGTGCTATTTTAATCCAATTATCGTCATAATACTTATATCGGAAAATTTATATTTTATTTATTTAGTGTTCTGTCTGACGACAGTATATGAACAGGATCCTTCCATCCTTTTCTCGGACTGGGACCTGTTCATATACGTTCTTGGCAGATGATCCAGAAGTGGTTTGCCATTGCCTTCTTCTGTGTGTGAATGGAGTAATTGTTGGGATGCCACGGAGAAATCGGGGAAGCCCCCGGAGGAAAACCCCGTGTTGTCTAGACCACGGCCTTGCCCAACACAAGTTATAAATTCTGGCACCGCCGGGAATCGAACCCGACACCCCAGGATTACAAGACCAGAGTTCTAATCGCTAGACCACCGAGGCATTATCGGAAAATATAATGTAATAATATTAAGGGTTATGTTTATATCATGATATTATTACATTATATTTTCCGATATAAGTATTATGACGTTAATTGGATTAAAATGGCAACATAAACATACATGGCAATCATTTATACAGAAATTTCCGCTTAATGCCAAAATACGAGGCGACAGCACGCCGTAGCGGCATCGAGTGGATTAATGTAGAACACTGCCGTCGCACCGTGAATTCAGACTTTACGTGGGCCTCTGCAGGCTTATTAGATGGAATTACTGAACCTGGTACACTAATACATAATGTAACATCGAAACAAAAGCGAGTGAAACATGCGAACAAAAGCTCGTTCTGGTCACTTTTGGAATCATCTTGATGTGTTAAAGCCATTATGAAAATGAAATAGGAATATTAAATTGTTTTCCATCACGAATTTTCTGGTAAATAGTGAATTAAATTATATGCATGTCATGTGAACGTCGTGTGGAAAATAATTGTATGTTCACAGATAAGGGAAATATGCAGCTGTTCTATGCTAATAGTAATTTAGTTTGTGTTTGGGTGAGGAGCTTTTGTGTCTTTACAAAAGTGTTCGTAAAGAAAGTGTAGCCTATATGTGTATATTAAAGTATTTCCTATGTTAAACTCGTAATGAACAATAGTTTGTTTAAATATGGATATATACTACATTTTCAAACCTCTGATATTTATATCCAGACCATTTTGTCTCGCTCCTTTTTCTCTTGTTGATGATTCTGGTTCTGTAAAATATCAAATTTCCACATTTTGGTTCCTCTACAGCTTTGTAGGAGTGTGTTTTTCCATCATTTCACAGATTTGTCTAATTTTTATGGACATTTCTTTTCATGGAGCAGTTGTAATGAACGCTACTGCAAAAGGTCTAACTGTGGTTACATGTCTGGCGAGCATTGTCTCACAAGTTACGTGTCTGTCAAATGGGAGGAATGTCATCAGAATTTTAGATCAATTATCGATATTAGACAGAGATTATAATTATGCATACACCAATTATTATAAAGTATTTAAAATTTTAATTCTTCTCATAATGTACACTATTTTATTTTTAGTAGTACCCGACGTATTGTGTCTTTTCGTCGCTAACACAAATTCCACGTACAGTAGTTTTGCTATTCGTTACACTGGAGCAATAAGTTTTTTATGTGACTCTTCGTTATGGTTAACAGATATACAATTTATTTATTTCGTAATTCTATTAAAATATCATTTTTCTGTTCTCAATGACACTGTCAATAATTTCACAGTCTCATCCCCTAACGGAACTACGGCAAATAAGCCGCTTAAACCATCAGCTAGTAACACTAACTCAAGTAGTTCAGTTAAATGCAGTTTGTTTCAAACATCTGCTCTCATAACTATAAAATCCACTTTGAGAAAAGTGTGTCGGCATCATAGTTTTCTGTGTGACATTACACAGTCTGTAAACAGAATATATTCTTTCCACATTCTTCATAGTCTTGCGGTCACTTTTTTTCAAATTGTGTGTATGATATATTATTGCAGCACTGCAGTTTCTTATCCTGATATGTTGAAAAATGTTTCCTCTGCAATAATTGTTATAGTGGTAGGGGTTATGTGGTTCTTCACATTCATAAGTAAAGTTGTACTTCTTGTAGCGGTGTGTAGCTTCACGTCCTATGAGGTGAGTGGCTGAAGCCCTTACACATTTGTTATTTCTGGCTTTTAACTTGCAACCAGTTAAGGAATGAGTCAGGTTAAAACAGTTGATATGGTGATTACGTTATGGCTTGGATGCCAGGGTTCATTTCTCGACAGGGGCAGTCCAGACCGACTTGTTGTCCAACCAGCCTCTTATCCAAATATTAATAGATACCAGGGGTCTTTCTATGGGATTAAAGTGGTTGAGGCTGAAACTGACGCTCATCCCCAACTAATCCACGTTTAAAATAGCATTCGTGTAAATTTCCTGTGACTGTAAATATTATCTATCAGACGATATATTTTTTTATTAATTATTTAAGCTTATATGACAATCGTAGCAGACAAAATAATACCGTGGGAGCTTGCGGTCTCCACAAAAAATACTACGTCCTCGCCTTAAACATCCTGCTTTCAGGCCTCAATCAGATCCTATTGTATACATTTTTGTGTGTAAACAGAAAGCATTAAATGTATTGAAGCTTAGATTTGGGGAGAATACCAAACCCAAAATATGGTTGTAGATCACACCAGGAAATGTTTATTACGTCCACAACTTCAATTAGCAAGGGAGATGTAATGGGCTGAGCATGTAACACGAATGGAAGCTACACGAAATATTTACAAAATTGTTGTAAAACTTGTAGAATGGGATGGGATTCATCTGGCTTAGGATGGAGACAGGTGATATGCTCTTCTGAAGATGGTTATGAACATTATATTTTCATAAAACTTGTGAAATTTCTTGAATATATGACCGACTATCAGCTTTCAAAGACGGGTTATGATCCACAGGGTCAGTCACTCAGTTATTTATAAAGAAGTAACAACTTTGTTTATTATCATTTATTTCAGGGCAACAGAACTGCAGATCTGGTACACAAAGTAATGAATGTCGCACAGGATGTTGACGTAAAAAAAGAGGTAATGACTACGTTAAATCCAATGCAGTGATAGTAGGTCTACTTTAATATCCGAGCATGTTAAGTAAACCACATAGACTGATTATATTTTTTAACAGGGTGTTAAGGATAACACCAGGGCATAAACAGGATAAAGTGAGAGGATTCTGGAGAAAATTGCATAATTAGAAGGTTTATAATTTGTAATATTTACCGAATATTATTAGGCGGGGCTTCGGAAAGATAATAAATATACACAAAATTTTGTTTGGAAGGCCTGAAGATAAGACCACTCGGAATACATTTCTGTAGTTAGGAATGTTTTACCATAGCGTCGAAATGTTAGTCAGTAGTCTAATGCTATTAATATTGTGACAAATGTATGACCTTTTAAATATTTTGGGTGTTTATGTTCCAGCTTGAACTATTTTCGCTGCAGTTAGTGCATCGCAAAGTCGAGTTTACAGCCTGTGGATTCTTCCCTATAAATTTCAGTCTTCTCTACTCGGTAAGGAATACTCTAAAAATCTACTAATTTCCAAGATACTTGAGCATAAGAATTCCGTGATATAGTCAATAACTGATAACTCTCATTTAGTAGGAAAATATATTCCTGGAAAATTTGTTTAAAGCGAAAGTGCGTATAATTAAGATACACAATGTTAAGATTAATGGCTGCATTGTATGAGCAGAAGCGTTTATGGTGACTAATGAATTCTTCTCGGGCTACCAGCCATGTCAGGTGGTTTTAATACCAAAGACAAACGTTTCGAGAGCCGTCTTCGTCCTCAGGGTACTGAAGTTGTAGGAGAATACAACCACCAACCAAAAAGCTAACAAGGTGGAGTTCCCGTCCGTGATCTGTGTATCCTGGGGACTGGAATCGGAAAGTTGGGCAAAAAATAGGGAACACGTCATTCCGCACACCAGGCCCTATTGGCTAACGTGTGGCCAATAATACGGAGCTTGGGCAGAGATGCACAGACCACGGACAGTATCTACTGCAACTTCAGTACCCTGAGGACGAGGACGGTTCTGGAAACGTTGGTGTCTTCTCCATTGAACCACCTGACAAGGCTAGTAGCCCTAGAATAGTTCATTATAATGACTACGTTCATGGATCTTTTGTTTTAATGTTAAAATTTATGGTCATGATTATTTAGATTAATAGTGATAAGTTAATAACTTAAAAATTGCATTTGAATGTATAGCGTTAACTCTTCCCAGACTGCACTTTATTTTAAGACCAAGCTTATTCGATTGTATCACAGTATATTCAGATGTGGTGTAAATTTATGTTATTTTGAAAGTCACGAATAATTGTTTT